AGTGACGAACGGCAAGCGTGCCTTCGCTAATGCTGCTCTTCGACTGTGGAAATGAAATGAAATGAAATGGGGTTTAACGTCCTACTGTTCTGCTCCTATACTGGGCTAATGAAGACAGGACTGTGGAATACTCTCCTTTCTATTCGCAATGCTTCCTCGTTCGACTCCTTCAAAAAACACCTCAAAACAAATCTTTTCCGACTACACTATAATGAATGATTCATTTACAGTAGTATTGCTTTTAGTTTTGTTTATGTCATATTAAATGCCTTTTACTACGCATTGAGATTGGGTTTTTTTTATGATGTATGCGTATAATAAGAAATTAAGAAATAAATATTATTATTATTATTATTATTATTATTATATATTACCAGACACAGCTCAGATTGATACGCCAAGAACGCTTGATTTGTTATTTTGAAGATATATGTTATCTTTGGTTGTTTGGTGAATAATATTTTTGGCAATATTACTGCACGTTTGGTACAGATAAGTAGGACCATTTCATTTACAGGTAACCAGCTTTGGATGATTATGGAATGCTATTTCTATGTTTATGTGCGTGTTCGATTATCGAGAGCTGTGTCAGATCTTTTTGGTGTCTACCTTATAAAACGCGTGTCTTGGCAGGCGCTCAAAATTCACTTTATTGAATCGTGTGATTCCGATTCCTATAAAAAAAATCTTAAACGGTCTTTAACCAAATGTTTAAAAAGACCATAATTTTTTTTACGGCAAGTTTGATGCAGAACCCGTTGTTTTATGCATGCCATTTCCAAATTAAAGTTTCTACCGGAAAACTATGCAGTCAAAGAAAATATCAACCAACATAGTTCCTTCTTGATGATGTAATAACCAACTGATCTTGCCAACCTTCGAAGCATTTCGAATACGTTTATATTTGAAATAAATTGGACGGTGACCGTGTTAAGTGGTTTCTCGAAGAATACTAATTAAGCCTAACTTTGATACTAAGCAATTACAGCGGCTTCAAATAGACAGGTTTGTAATAAAACCTTTCGCGTGAGGCTAGTTAAAATCGCTTTATGCTAAAAAGCCATCATGTTGAGCTCTCAACCTGTCGATCTAACAAACTCGCTCCGTGATTTATTAAATTACAAAAGCCTTTATATCAAACTGTCTCGTATGCTAACGGAAACAACACAAAACTCACAAAAACAAATCTACTACTTTTCATTTCTAGTTTTTTCTTGGGGTATTTTTCCAGTGATGACAGGGTTGATGAGATCCATTGACCCTTCTGGCATTTCTTTCTTGGTTAGAGAATTTGTTTTTAAGCAAGAACCAAATTGCAAAAGCATTTAGTTTGTGTAAAAATTGCAAGTTGTTTGGACAGTGATGCGGAATCTGTATTTTTCGGCCATTGGATACTTTTAGTTCGGGTGACAATATTTTGGGGAATTGTCTGCTAAAGAAGCCGATTTCTGACGCTTTGAATATTCTGCCGGAATGTTGAAATTTAAACAGGGCGGATTCGATCATTTCTAACAATCAGTTCCCGAAACCCGGTTCGGAAGCAAAGTTCATTATTGCAAAATTACTGGACTAAATAGCACTTACCAGACAAAAAACACTGTCATTCAGTTACTTCCAAAATAGATTTCTTCGAGCCTTATGAGGTTTCGATATCTCTAATTCATTTATTAAAATTCCAGACTTCATTAAATGAAAAGATATCAAAATGAAAATGTTTTAAATGGCTTGAATGAAAAAATGTAAGAAAATTGACAAATAATAGTTTTCTTTTAAAAAAAAAGTAAAATACTTATCACATCTTTAAAAAAAACAGAATTAGTAAAATGTCAATATGTACATTTGCCTATAAAAGTGTCAGTGACAGTGAAAACAACCCTATGGTAAGTTAGCGGGTAATGATTGTATATGTTGACCAGTGTGGTCCTAGGCTATGCCACTTGTGGTGCCTCTCCCAATCCCCCACACCGGCGACCAGAGTAAGATGGAAGAGTGTGGTATAAAAAGACCCATGAGAGTGTCAAAATATTTTATGTCTTGACCGGTGGCCAAGTCTGCTGGTAAATCTTGCACTAGGGGTAACAAGTATATGCACCTACGTTAACACCTGTCTGTACAATAAAACTTTTAAAACGACAATATGTTAACAAAATGAAAATAATGTTTATCGCAAAATGAATAGAATTAACCGCAATTATTTCAAAAATATTTCCTTTGATAAAAGACAGCCAGCTACATAATCCCTTTATGACGACCTGCTGAACATAACAATTCTTCATCAAATGCTGGTAAATCTTGCACTTGGACTGGGGGTAACAAATATATGCACCTAAGTCAACACCTGTCTGTACAATAAAACTTTTAAAACGACAATATGTTAACAAAATGAAAATAATGTTTATCGCAAAATGAATAGAATTAACCGCAATTATTTCAAAAATATTTCCTTTGATAAAAGACAGCCAGCTACATAATCCCTTTATGACGACCTGCTGAACATAACAATTCTTCATCAAATGAAAAGGTATCAAAATGAAAATGTTTTAGATGGCTTGAATGACAAAATATAAGAACATTGACAAATAATAGTTTTCTTTAAAAAACAGTAAAATATTTATCACAACTTACAAAACAAATTAGTAAAATATCAATAGAAATTATATAATAAATTGCGTATACATAAGTTAAGTTCATTATTCTAATACAACAAACATAATGCCATCAGCGAATAATTTGTCAGCGACATTATTTTAAAATCTCTAGTATCACTTGCTTTATAACTTATTTCTATCAAAGTTTTGTGTCACGATATACCCATATATCCACAAAATATACTTAGTGCAAACGCATTATATCCTTAAATACGTTGCGTATAAATTGCCGTACGGTCTTCAGAAACCACCACCGAGTTCCAGATGTTAATGTACTCTGCACTTTACAAATAAATAATACCATAATATCGTTCGCTGATAGGCGTGTATGTGGTGTTATATATCCAGGAATATATAGTTTGTGTCTAGATAAAGTTTGATTTGGTGAAATAATGGCCCTCAACTGCCGCTCACGAGTTAAAGGGCCATATGGTCTGGCATTTTGGATTTTACTATTATCTAATTACCCCACAACATAATGAACGATTTCAGTGTATTCCTTGACCCCAGAAGCATATGGTTTGACACCAAAATTATCATCCTAGACTAAATACTGTGGGGGTTATAGGGGATTATTTGAAATGGCAGTACTCTTGGGCGCCATCTTGAATTTCTCAAAACTCTCAAGGGTGACCGAGGTTTACCCGGCAGATTCTGGAAGAGGACACCCTAGGCTACTACAATCAATGATAAAAAAGACATTGTATACAATTTCCAGCTTCACTCGAAATATTGGGTTTGGCGATCGGACTATTGCGCCAGCGCGACCGTTCCTCCAAGTGACGAACGGCAAGCGTGCCTTCGCTAATGCTGCCCTTCGACTGTGGAATACTCTCCTTTCTATTCGCAATGCTTCCTCGTTCGACTCCTTCAAAAAACACCTCAAAACAAATCTTTTCCGACTACACTATAATGAATGATTCATTTACAGTAGTATTGCTTTTATTTTTGTTTATGTCATATTAAATGCCTTTTACTACGCATTGAGATTGGGTTTTTTTATGATGTATGCGTATAATAAGAAATTAAGGAATAAATATTATTATTATTATTATTATATATTACCAGACACAGCTCAGATTGATACGCCAAGAACGCTTGGTTTGTTATTTTGAAGATATAGGTTCTTATCTTTGGTTGTTTGGTGAATAATATTTTTGGCAATATTACTGCACGTTTGGTACAGATAAGTAGGACCATTTCATTTACAGGTAACCAGCCTTGGATGATTATGGAATGCTATTTCTATGTTTATGTGCGTGTTCGATTATCGAGAGCTGTGTCAGATCTTTTTGGTGTCTACCTTATAAAACGCGTGTCTTGGCAGGCGCTCAAAATTCACTTTATTGAATCGTGTGATTCCGATTCCTATAAAAAATCTTAAACGGTCTTTAACCAAATGTTTAAAAAGACCATAATTTTTTTTACGGCAAGTTTGATGCAGAACCCGTTGTTTTATGCATGCCATTTCCAAATTAAAGTTTCTACCGGAAAACTATGCAGTCAAAGAAAATATCAACCAACATAGTTCCTTCTTGATGATGTAATAACCAACTGATCTGGCCAACCTTCGAAGCATTTCGAATACGTTTATATTTGAAATAAATTGGACGGTGACCGTGTTAAGTGGTTTCTCGAAGAATACTAATTAAGCCTAACTTTGATACTAAGCAATTACAGCGGCTTCAAATAGACAGGTTTGTAATAAAACCTTTCGCGTGAGGCTAGTTAAAATCGCTTTATGCTAAAAAGCCATCATGTTGAGCTCTCAACCTGTCGATCTAACAAACTCGCTCCGTGATTTATTAAATTACAAAAGCCTTTATATCAAACTGTCTCGTATGCTAACGGAAACAACACAAAACTCACAAAAACAAATCTACTACTTTTCATTTCTAGTTTTTTCTTGGGGTATTTTTCCAGTGATGACAGGGTTGATGAGATCCATTGACCCTTCTGGCATTTCTTTCTTGGTTAGAGAATTTGTTTTTAAGCAAGAACCAAATTGCAAGTTAGCACACATCAGTGGATCGAGATACTACAGAGAACTATAAGTTGACTATGAAGCAAATTTTTATCTAGTAGCAAAAGAAACGCAAGACTAAAACCATTTAGTTTGTGTAAAAATTGCAAGTTATATGGACAACCCGGTTTGGAAGCAAAGTTCATTATTGCAAAATTACTGGACTAAATAGCACTTTCCAGACAAAAAACACTGTCATTCAGTTACTTCCAAAATAGATTTCCTCGAGCATTATATCGTCAGATTATTAAACTGCTCTGTGTGCCATACCATTTGTAATATTTATTTTATAGTAGTGAATTGAAGATGACAAAGAATCAAAATAAAACAACAATTCAATTCAATTTATTCAAATGCTATATTTTATTTCCGTGGTCAACCTTGCCACAGCCGTTACACAAGCCTGATAATGTTTTTCAGCATTGAAGCATGAGTAGAATATATGCGTGGTATATTGGACAGTATAATTTAAATTTGTATCACTGCATCAACATTGTCACTACACGTTTTTGTTTATGAGGTTTCGATATCTCTAATTCATTTCTTAAAATTCCAGACTTCAATCTAGAATCAAATTTGGTGAGATGAAATAATATTTTAATAGCGCGTCATGTAATTATAACATAGGTATATGCATATAACGCATACTATCTGTCATTAATCTTGGTATAAAAAACAGTCTGCAACATATAAATACTAACGTCAGGTTGTGCTGCAGGTGGGGAGATGATTTGCGACTATTGTCATGCAAAGATGTCGATCGTCCAATGTTTTCACACCACTGAAGAATGGCAGGCAAAATAAAACCACACACCCACATGCAGTTAAGTCGTTCGGCCATTATTGAATGTTCGTCATGAACATTGACCAGGAGAGCATTTACCAGGTTCCGATGCCAAAGGCAACGAGAACACATATAATTAACATTCATCCTAAAATTTAGTCTAGTGATCCTAATTAGTTTAGTTACTTTTCTTTTTTGCCGATCAAGATTAGCAGACACAATGCGATACCTGGATAATTGATGCGCGAATTTCGACACTTAGGACTAAATTAAAAGTGTCAGTGAAAAGGGAATTAAAGCTATAGTTAGTTTATTCCCCACACTGGCGACTAGAGGATGATGGAAGAGTTTGTTATAAGAAAGGCCCATGGCGGTGCAAAAAATATTTTATGGTAACCTGCTGAACATAGCAATTCTTCATTAAATGAAAAGATATCAAAACGAAAAATTTTTAAATGGCTTGAATGAAAAAATAAAAGAAAATTGACAAATACTAGTTTTCTTTTAAAAAAAAGTAAAATACTTATCACATCTTAAAAAAAAAACAGAATTAGTCAAATATCAATGTGTACATTTGCCTATAAAAGTGTCAGTGACAGTGAAAACAACCCTATGGTAAGTTAGCGGGTAATGATTGTATATGTTGACCAGTGCGGGGCTTCATTAAGAGTGGTCCTAGGCTATGCCACTTGTGGTGCCTCTCCCAATCCCCCACACCGGCGACTAGAGTAAGATGGAAGAGTGCGGTATAAAAAGACCCATGAGTGTGTCAAAATATTTTATGTCTTGACCCGTGGCCAAGTCTGCTGGTAAATCTTGCACTTGGACTGGGGGTAACAAATATATGCACCTAAGTCAACACCTGTCTGTACAATAAAACTTTTAAAACGACAATATGTTAACAAAATGAAAATAATGTTTATCGCAAAATGAATGGAAATAACCGCAATTATTTCAAAAATATTTTCTTTGATAAAAGACAACCAGCTACATAATCCCTTTATGACGACCTGCTGAACATAACAATTCTTCATCAAATGAAAAGGTATCAAAATGAAAATGTTTTGAATGACAAAATATAAGAACATTGACAAATAATAGTTTTCTTTAAAAAACAGTAAAATACTTATTACATCTTACAAAACAAATTAGTAAAATATCAATATGTACATTTGCCTATATAAAATAGAAATTATATAATAAATTGCGTATACATAAGTTAAGTTCATTATTCTAATACAACAAACATAATGCCATCAGCGAATAATTTGTCAGCGACATTATTTTAAAATCTCTAGTATCACTTGCTTTATAACTTATTTCTATCAAAGTTTTGTGTCACGATATACCCATATATCCACAAAATATACTTAGTGCAAACGCATTATATCCTTAAATACGTTACGCATAAATTGCCGTATGGTCTTCAGAAACCACCACCGCGTTCCAGATGTTCATATACTCTGCACTTTACAAATAAATAATACCATAAATACCATAGCTATTATACACTACTTGTTCAGGTAATACGGTTACGGCGTCGATTACATCGTCTCCTTCTACATCGCCTACCACAATAACCTTTACGCCGGTGCTTGCGCTTACGATTATTTTTACGACGTCCTCTATTTCTGTCTTTCTTTCCCTTCTTTCTCCCTTTCCCTTTTCCTTTCTTTCTTTTCTTCTTACGACGCCTATGTCGTTTTCGCCGGTTACACTGCCCTGTCACAAAAACATAAATAAACATCAAGAATGAGCGGATGAGGTGAATTGTGTATTCTTAGGTATCATATTCAACAAACTTTTTATTAAAGCCACTGGTCGGCATTTACATTTTTCGGACACTATCTAATTTATCACAGGTACGAAACCAAACCAGATAGTCTCACGACTTGCATTCGATCGGATTAAAAAGAGACCTATCAAATGATTTGACCCAACTTTTATATGTGGCGCTGCCTTGTTTATATCGTCTGCACTGCAAAGAATGACGAATTTTGCGAATTTTTTTAATTCGTAATAACTTTTTAGATACTGAGATAAGGATAAGCGGTAGATCGTATTACAATTTTGTTCCGTTGTTTTTTTAGAATTTTACAAAAGAAATAAAAGGAAATGAAACTGACATCTGATTTAAATCGGCGTGATGTGATTGGTATGAAACGTCTGCCAGTTGCCAAGAAGGGACATGGTATTTGTTTTGAATTACAATTTCGTTTTGGTTTTTTTTTTTTTTTTTAGAATTATACAACAGAAATAAAAAGAAATGAGATTGACATCTGATTTTAATCAGCTTGATGTGATTGGTATGGAATATCTGCAAGTGGCCAAGAAGAGCGTAGATTTCCTGTACATAATAGAGGACTAGGTCTAATGCTTACTCAGTTCGTGATCTCATTCGCTGGTTCCATGTGTTTACCGTCATTAATAAAAGAAAGAGGGGCGGAAATGCGATTAGATTAACAATCTTGGTGTGCAGATAGTGATAAGGGTATATGACAAGATGATATCATAGATGCCATAAGATATACCAGACCTAAACCTAACCTACCGCTGCAGGGTCGACGTCTTATCACACATGTTCTTGAGTCCACCAATGTCGGACATCCAGCTCCATTAACTGACGGATATTCTAAAACCTGTCTAGTTTTAGTCTGCACGCCATATCTATATCCACAAGTCACACCGTTTCTGGAACACTGGGACCAACTGCTCCATGGTCCAACCATGCAATCCACTGAAAATAAATTACTAAATTACCATAGGTTGTAGGTTGTGTGGACTGTTGTGTGTAGAATAGGAAACTCTTAAAGGAGCATTCCCAGATTCCACAGGGTCTCCGTTGATAAGTATCCAAAGTAGATTTCAAAATGTAAGCAAGTGGTCAAAATAGCTTGTCTGAAAGTTTTAATTCGGAAGTGATCACTAGATTTGCTCGAAGGTTTACGTAAATCATTTAATGAATTCTATTGCTCGCTGACCGGCGATTTTTGTTGACTTTTTGGTGCAAAAAGGGTTTGAATTTGCATTTTCTGCTAGATTTTGATGATTGGTAATGATTTTGAGGCGGAAGGATAACAGAGTTAAAAGAATAGTTACGTTGTGCGGACAGCTGTGTATGCTACTTCCAGTTTGTGTAACTCAGTATTTCGATGGTGAACCTCATACATGCTTTGGGGCAAACGGTTGCCACGTGTAGCTCCATCTGCGTTTGATAGCGTTCAAACCATAACAATTTGGGGAAATAGGGACATTTATGGTGTACTGTAAACCAACTACTATAAGCTGGGCAAACATGTAGACATGTCTAACCAGGCGCTTGGGAAGAGCGTGGGAATCGGGGATTTATATGCCACAAAATCATACAGGATTAGAATGAAGGTAGGGATTCTAAGAATCTCCTACATCTAATCAGCTGGTTTGATTCACTGCAATATTCCTGGGTGAGCTTCCGTAAATTTATAAACAGGTCACAGTAGGACGTTAAACCCCATTTCATTTTATTTTATAATCAGATTGTTAGGTTAGATATTTCGTGCAGAACAAAACGATAATAGAGTCACATTTCAATTATTACATTTTGCATATACAATAGTGCTGATTAAAACCCCATTTCGTTAAATTTATAAATACCCTACCTCTATCTCGGCATTCCTTGGAGTAATTTGCATAATGTGTATTGTTGGGACATTTCTCTATACACTGTCCCTGGAATGCTAAATAAGGTGGTTCACATCTCGTACAATAATGTCGACTGAAACAAGCCTGGCAATGTTCGATATGGCATCCTGTGAAATAAATGTATAAAAGTCATTTATACTATAGCAAAGTAGTTCCTAGAAAAATCTCGCATTTAAATCTATGATCGATGTATTATATAATTTTCACGGATTATTTAACATTTGATTACGAAAACAAAATCAAAATATCAACGGTACATAATCTTCCGACTTGGATTCATCAGTACATTTTTGCAAAGATTGTAGGTCAAGGTTTCTTGTTTTGACTATATTCTGTTTATCATCGTCTGTTGTGGATGTTGGGTGTTGTCCAATGTTTATATCTTTATAAAGCTAAACGGGATTGAACCATTACGTCATAAAGAACGAAACGAAATTTTAATTTCGATGGGTCAAACGTCTTGTTTTATACCAAAACATGCATAATGAGTTGGGAGATAAAGAAGATAACGAATTTGAATTTACCAATTACAATTGTACAATACGCAGTACAATCGAACTTGTATTTGATAAGGTATTCGAATAAATTTGTGAATGGGATTTACTGTTAACAGAATGTTGTGCATTCATAAGCAACCTATATCTAATAGAATATTCGTTGGAACGGTAAAGAACATGGTTTAAGTACCCCCAAAGGTCATCAAAAATTAGCTGAATGAACCGATATCTTAACGTATCCCGTGACACTCGGCGTATCTGTTAATAAGTTTACATCTGTGTACTATTATTGACTGGGGTGGTGAACTTTTGTCGCATCACCTTTATGACAATAGATCACGGTATTTAATCATAATGGTACCGACTGCCACCATTTTGTCGTCTGGTATCGAATCTTTAATGGGTGGGAATGTGTTCGGGTTTATCTTTAGGGATTTAGGCTCGGTAAGCTGAGGGTATTGGTAGCCAATAATAGACTCACATCAATAAGCTTAAGAAATTTAACACCCGCGTTACGCCAGTTGGGTAACAAATAGATTTTAAAAATCGTATCTAAACAATTTTAGTTTTGTCAATGCAGTCCATCTTTTTTCCCTTCAAAATAACGTTAGCAAAAGAAATATATTGTGTTATTCGGGCATTGTATTAAGATGAAAGCCCCATCAATCATTTTGTCTACCAGTCAGATGACCAGACGTAATAAATGTAATTAATTAATGAACACAATATAATATAAATTTCATTCGCGAGTATCTAACACAGAAGAAGGGCAACGGTCAGCTACTGTAGGGCATAATAGTAATGTCCACGTCGTAACAGAACCAGACTGCTTATTTATTATGACGCAGTCAGACCAGTTGATATTATTTATTTTTTTCGTATAAACTAGCTACTTGAAATTGAATACAAAAATACAAATAATGAGTAGGCATGCGCAGCCTCGCGCAAAACATCTGTCATGATTGACAGCCAACTTTGGCGCCGGCCAGGACTCGGACATGCGCCTTTTTTAAACCTGTGTTCACAGAAACCAAACCAATGCAACGGCAAGTCAATGAAACTGCTATTGACTGTAGTAAGATTAAAATGACGAATTCTGGTTCTGGGGCTATACATTTACAGCTTCAGATGTTTATCTATGTTATCAAATCTATTTAGTTATAACCTTTTTAATGTTGCGTGTGTATGCCAAATAAATATATTTTACGTCCGCCTTCCCAATGAAGTTATATCTCAGACGAGTTGTGCGTGAATGAAATACCTTTATTTAACGTCCGATTCCACAATGAACTGATATCGCATGTCATTCGATCTACGTTTAAACATTTAACAAAATACATAATTTAAGTGAAACAATCAATGAGGCTATTTGTATTGTAGGCTTTCATTGGTCAGCAAATTACGCCCGTTACTGAATCCGCGGATAACATTTGAAAACAACACAAATGGTCAATTATCCAAGGATTCTAATTAATTTAACCGCGTATTTGTAGAACCCTCCATACCCCTGACAAATGTTCATTGGCAAATTACGAAAGCGGGTAACATTTTTTTAAAAAGAAAAATACTTACGATTGCATTTATTATAATACTGATATCTAACTCCATAATATCCTACAGGACAGCTGGGCGTACATATACCAATCTGTCTAATATTCTGTCTATATAAAAACATAAAATAACGGGACTCGCACGTAACACAGCCATTAACAGGTGAACAACTAGCACAGCCACGTGGACAATTAGCCGTTGCTGAAATATAGAATAAAAAGAATAATTTAACCTTAAAAAAGCTAAATGATTTTGGTCAAAATGAAGTATTGGGTTGGGTTCATCTGATTTATTATTTTCATTAGTAATTTTGCAAGATTTAAACGATCTGATTCGTGTGATTAAACGGTGGTCGGATTGTTTACTAATTACTGTTCGGACACAAAATCTGTTATATCTGCACACTGACTTTATCTATTAACATACAGTTTTCAACGAAGACAGATTGTCATTCTACACAACAAACATAACCCAATAAGTCCAGTGTCATTTCAAGATCAATCAAAGTAAGACGATATGAACTCCTTAGACTCGAATTATTATAGTAGCCTGTGTTCTGGAAGGAGTAATCGTGTCCGTTATTCTTAAGCCAATACCAGCTGTTGGCCGTTGAAACTAAAAGTTTGAAGTTAGCTAATGATCACCAGAAAGCAAATATAAATTGACTGGTGATCTGGATCGTTTAGCCACCAGCTTCGTGTGGGTAATTTTGTCTATGACAATAATGTGGGTGACTTTGTTTTGGAATAATGTTTATGTTGTTGACATTAAAATTTACAGTAGAGCGCAGTCGAATTAAACATTGTTACATGTAGGTTTGCGTTTTACTAATAAAGAGATGTTTCGACACAATGCCTTCAAATAGAACAATAAATAAGATAGCACTGACTGGGATGGTTATAGAAAATCAAAATCAGAGCAAAATGACTTTTAATTTAATTGGATGTTTCGGTAGTTATACAGTGGGTAAAAACGTATAATGTTGTAGAGTTAGGCAAACAAAAAATCACGAAATGTAAATGTTCTCGATTAACTTCGGTGTTTGCTTTGTGCCATTCTTCATAGATTTATCTCCCTTGAGATAATGTTATCACATTTATGGATTCAATTCTAATTCGCTTTTTTATCTGTCAGATGACCAACACGAGACAGGCCGTCATTAAAAATGCATTATGTAACATTCAGATAAAGAGCTTACAGTTCTCACTATAATAGTTAGAAAATAGATAATGAAAAGAGAATATGTTGAAAATTTCAGTCAAATGAGCTAAGTTAATGCTGTTAGGGAGAATAGCAAAGTCTCGATTGTCATTGAGTTCTCACTATAACAGTTAAAAAATAGATAATGAAAAGAGAATATGTTGAAAATTTCAGTCAAATGCGCTAAGTTAAGGCTGATAAGGGGGAGTAGCGGAGTCTCGATTATCATTGCTACCGTTGTTACGATGGTAAACAAAGTATCGATGACACACTAAGATGCCAATTAATTGGTGGGATTAACGGACGTTATTCTCTTAAGAGTTCTAATATGCAAAACATAGATTACTAATGTATGAAAGTTAATGGGCAACTCCCATTTTGATTTTTTCTAAATTATACCACTGCTAGAGGAAATGTGAATATGCCGCATGGATGTTTCGTTAGGAAAAGGGTGCATTGCGTGAGATAAAAACGGATAAAAAAACTACTATTACAGGATCACTCTAAATATTCTTTCTCCATTTTCTAAATGACCTATAACATAAATAATACAAATGTTGATAAACTAAATTATATTATTATTTCGTAAAAGCCGACATAATTATTTATTTATTTTGGCTTCATTTATGTTCATATATTAGTGGCGTCGATATCATACACATCTTATTTTAATCGGAAGACTATTATTGTCGGTGTATTGTTCGTTTATTCCAATATATTCTGTTCAAAATGATACGGATGGCTTCAGTGACAGTTTTGGTTATGACAATTATAAAACAAATGCTACAGTTAAATCATTCCCTTAAAATTACAATTTCATATTTTTAAGTTATATTTTTAAAATGTATTAAAATAAAGCCCTAAAATAGATGGTATCTATTAACAGTCCTACCTTGTTAAAGAATAATCCTATTAATCCTATAATTCACTATTGCCAGTTGAGAAATTGGCAAAAATATTATTTTCAACTTCAAATTCAAACGTTTGAAGATAGCTATTCCATGGTGGAGAATAGGAAAACAAGGGAGGTAATTGTGTTATTATTTCCGGCGTGAAGATTTTTAAGTGTGAGAAAGATAACCTATGAAGTTGACAACTTATTGAGCAAAAGACATAGAAATAATTATGTTTTGACTTTCTTAGAAAATATGAAATTGTAACTTTCATACATTACAAAATATTCCGTAGTTATTAAGGGATTAAGAATGTTTTCGATAATTGCCAAATGTCGTTTTTACAGGAAGCGTATGTTTGCGACTTTGAGTGGAGATAGCTGAATTAATTTTAATCAGATTGGTGTGAACTTGTCGTAAAGTAATATAGTAACTACTGTCTATAAGTACATAAAATTATGTTTGGCCATAATTTAATCATTTACTGCCAATCATTTTTAAATCCGTTGAAATTCAAGAGCATCCGATGACCCAGGGAGTTGATTATGGTCTTGCCATGTTAATAAATGTCTAATTAATAATTTATATAACATTTAAGGCCTGAAGAAAGACCTGAAATAGGCATCTTTAGCTCTTGAATAATGCATCTTTAATTAACTTTAATGTTAATTCTGGTCTCTTTGTCGAGCTTCAACATTTCTACAAATTGGCTGAACACTTTCCACCATAGACGTAGCAACAAGCGGTTATGTCTCTACAGACAGCAAAGTTTGCAACTATGATCAGGTAGCTATCCGATGTAAATACCACCTTTACTAAGTTCTTAACTCTTATCCTTCCAAATAAAAAAAAATCTAGGCTAAAACGTCAAGTATTAAAGAAGGAACTGCACTCGTCGATGGGATATTTTAATTGTGTTCTGCTTCCAGTAGGAAAGTTAGAGTACTTTCCCTTTACACATATTATTTCTACAATGGTAATTCCAATTACAGCATGTACTCGGGTAACAGATAGCCTCTGCAATAATTGAACTGTTTTGAGAATTTCGACCGACAGTGACAGTGAGAAATTCTGGTCATGATAAATCTAATTGTTCTTCTCGGTCCCTGCAAAATTTGTATTAAAGGGAAAAACAATAGCCAGTGAGACATATGATAATCCCAATTTCCCTCTGGCGATTTTTATCATGTTGCAAATTTTTCCGAATTCGTTCCTTTCGCCTACAGGTTTGTAAAGATTGTGTTTTGACTTTTACAGTTTATATGGAAACAAAAATAAAAACTTAAGGCAGGGCGAATTGAGATAATTCTAGAACTTTAAAGACGAAAAGAAACTATTGTTTATTACATTAAGCATACTCTTAACACCGATATAGTTACACCATGAGGTAATAATTGTCTTTAACGTGTTACACGTTTGCCTCAACATCTCTAATGATTTGCAATCCACGTGTATTGATATGTTGATATTTCGTCTGCTCAGTTTCATCCTAAGATAGATGTCGGCTGCTGGAAGACGGCAACAAGTGTCCAAAATATTTGTATTATGACATGATACCTGGGTTAGGACTGTTAAGTGTTTTAGTATGTGAGTTCTAAGGCTCGTACATGTGTGTTCTTGTGTGCGGGCTTGGATAGACACGTTGTTTGTAATACTGCAAGGAATGTAGCTGATGCTCTGATTAACAAGGCAGTAATTACAGACACATTGTAAATCTGGGAAGTAAAAGCATTCCTCGATATCTACTTGTCCGCTGTAATAATGTTAATATGTTGTGTATGTATGGAATATTGTAGAGATAATATAGACGAAGAATCTATAATATTTAGGGTCGGATTACGGTAGTGGACTAGACACCCAAAACATGATGTACAGCGAAACTACAGATTCTTATTTATAGTAGGAGTATAATAATTAAGGCGTGTAAATCTTCCACAATAACCAACATTGTTAATTTACTGATGGTTTACTGATTCTTGCATTACGAAATAATAACTGCCAATGCAACTAAAGGGTATAACACTGCAAATGTGCAAGCTGAATCTAGATTTTACTCTATTTCAAAGACGTTTTTTTTGCCCTCGATATCACAAGAGGTACTACACATACATGACTTTAGAAAATACTGTCTGTCGCAGGCAATTCTTTTATTTCGTTTACTATAGTAAATTTGACCAACATTTCGTTTCATTTTCCGCTGTGTATTTCTCTTCATATTGACATAAACACGTTTCTTTATTAGGCATGGTCAGTAATGCACAGGTAGTGATTAGACGAATCCAGATCAATCTACTAATCAAAACCTAAAATATTTTTATGTACGCGCTCTATAGTCTCTACAGGCACTAACGATTTATACACGGGTTTTTTGACCCATCTGAAAGAGTAGACATACTACTCTAGTCAATCCCACAGTCGCCTCACCTCTAACAAGTGAGGATCAAGCTTAAAAACAAATTTTGATTTGAACATGATGTTCGCTGTGCAGATCCCAAAACGAAAAGCATCTCTTTACACATAATCAGAAGACAGGCAGTAGTGCAGTTCTCCCAGCATGGATTATATTCTATACGATAACATGGCTGAATCACCCATCTCATCTAGTCACATACCTGGCAGCAATGGCAAGGGGTATTACAAGCTCATTAACCATTGCTACATCGGATAAAAAATATGGCGGTCGCCAAGTTCGGCAAATCAAGTCCGTGAGACAAGAAGAACATTCTCGACTGACGGGACTAATCCTTTAGCAGTGACTAATAGACTATACTAATGCTCGTAACCTTTGATTCAGGACTAATATTTATCTACCTTTTAGTTTTTTCTTTGAATAATTCATTTACTGTCATTTTAAAGAAAATAAAATGGAATGGGGTTTAGCGTCTTTATAGTTATAGTGGGTGTCGTGCACGGGGCATGGCACACGTACTATCTTACTTCAGATACTTGACTGTAACACTCATCACTTTATTCTTACATTTGCCATTATAATACAATAACCTAATTTTAGGAAATGAAAACCTTAAATAAACTTCAGAAACCCTTCTAGACAAACTGAACAAGAAGACAAGTCTTTATATTGCTTGATTAACACACCATATAATTTTA